CACTTGGAACAGCTTTGTGTTATATTATGTCATTGTTTTTCCGGCTGTCTGCATGCTGATCTTACAGTGAAGGGAAATGAAATGCAACAGTACAGGCTGTGATATTTTAATGCAAGGTTCAGTTGGGTGTTTTAAAAGTTGTAAGCGGCTGTGGTGGCCCACACAAAATCCAGAAAAATTAACAAAAACATATAATGCCTTTTATTGGGGCCAACCCAAATGACACAAAACACTGTGAAAGCTTTCAAGTTTTATAGAACTCTTCATCAGGCAGCTGTTACAAGAAATGTTTAAATGAAGGCAGAATAAAACAAATGGGGTATAAATCAGCAAAGTGACAATTCATAGCCATAGTAATAGGGGGGGAAATATGATTGTATTAAGCCAATATTTGCAGAGTAATAATGAAACACTGTCCTTACAAAAGCCTAATAAGACATGTAGTGCATAAAACTGATGCTATCTATCTTTAATAACTATCGACCACAGCCTCCCTTCTAATACTTAATTATTACAATACAGCCCCTGTTTTGGGGCATTTCTTTATTCAAACCTACAAAATGGGGATAGTAACTAAAGATTATACCATAGTTATTTTACATAACTTATTACTCTGTTTAGGTTTTTTAAAAGGGGTGAACAAACATGTGGACAAGGGGGATCCAATAGATATTGTTTACCTTGACTTCCAGAAAGCTTTTGATAAAGCCTCATCTAAGGCTCCTAAGTAAGCTCAAAAATCATGGGTTTTATGGGACAAGTCCTTTTATGGATCAAAAACTGGCTAATTAATAGAAAACAGAGAGTGAGTATAAATGGGCAATTTTCTCAGTGAAGGGTGGTAAGCAGTGGGGTACCGCAGGGATCAGTACTTGGTCCACTGCTTTTTAACTTGTTCATTAATGATTTGGAGTTGGGAGTAAGCAGTGAAGTGGCTAAATTTGCGGATGATACGAAGTTGTTCAGGGTGGTGAAAACCAGTGAGGATTGTGAGGCACTCCAAAGGGATCTGTCAAGGATGGGCGAGTGGGCGTCAACATGGCAAATGGGGTTCAATGTGGCCAAGTAATGCACATTGGAGCCAAAAATCCTAAATATAAATACACATTGATGGGGTCTGAACTGGCAGAGAGTGATCAAGAGAGAGATCTTGGAGTTGTAGTAGATAACTCACTGAAAATGTCGAGACAGTGTGTGACTGCAATAAAGAAGGCCAATGCTATGCTGGGGATTATTAGGAATGGTATTGAAAACAGATCAGCCAATATCATAATGCCCCTATATAAATCAATGGTGCGACTTCATCTGGAATACTGTGTGCAGTTCTGGTCACCACACCTTAAAAAGGATATTATAGCTTTGGAAAAAGTGCAGAAAAGGGCAACTCGAATGATAAAAGGGTTGGAACACTTTCCCTATGAGGAAAGGTTAAGGCGCTTAGGGCTCTTTAGCTTGGAGAAAAGACGACTGAGGGGTGACATGATCGAGGTTTATAAGATTATGCATGGGAAAGAGCAGGTAGAGAAAGAGGTACTTTTCTCCCTTTCTCACAATACAAGAACCCGTGGGCACTCCATGAAATTGCTGAGCGGTCGGGTTAGAACGGATAAAAGGAAGTACTTCTTCACCCAAAGAGTGATTAACACATGGAATTCACTGCCACAGGAAGTGGTGGCAGCTACAAGCATGGACGGCTTCAAAAGGGAATTAGATAAGCATATGGAGCAGAGGTCCATCAGTGGCTATTAGCCACAAGGTATAGAGAGTGTTGGACTGGATGGGCCTTTGGCCTGATCCAACATTGGCGTCGCTTATGTTCTTATGTAAAGATAAAATTCCACTGTTGGAGCCAGAGTATAGCCTCCAATCTCCAAGTACAATAGTTATCACAAGCAAGAACAGATAGAGTGAAACCAAGTGGATGTGCCAACAAACACTCCTAATAAATCAACCTGCCACCCAGGGGATAAGCCCCTGAACCTGAGATCTGAGGCAATCCCAAAGGGTACTCTTCATTTCTCCTGCCCTGAAACAAAAACCATTAGCAGCATCTTTTAAAACATTTTTGAACCCACATTCTTAATGGATGAGACCCACTCTGAAGAAGTATAAACTCTTTACTTTTTTGGGGGGGGAGGGGTGTGTGCATATGTGAGATAGAGTACTTTACACTTAGAATTAAATCTTACAAATAAAGGGCCCTGCTGGATCAGACCAGTAGTCCATCTAATCTAGCATCCTTTCTCAAACAGTTCCCACCAACACAACATAGAGACTGAGGTCTTCCCTTGATGTTGCCTCCTGGCTCTGGGATTCAGAGGCTTAGTGCTTCTGAATGTGGAGGATCCCCTCAGTCACCCAAGAGGGAAATGGCTATAGGTAAGTAAAGGTAAAGGTTCCCTTGCTCAAAAGCCAGTCGAATCAGACTCTAGGGTTGCGGTGCTCATCTCCGTTTCAAAGCCAAAGAGCCAGCGCTCTTGCTTTCGAACTGCTAGGTTGGCAGGAGCTGGAACTAGAGATGGGAGCTCACTCCGTCTTGCGGCACCAGGGTCTCGAACTGCTCACCCTCCACAGTCTGCAGTTCAGCGTCTTAACTACTTGAGTCACCGCAGCTCCAGGTAAGTAGACTGGGGCTATTTTACTTTCGATTGGAGATTAAATGCAGGATTTTACTGTAGCTGTGAAGCTGTCCTTCCCCACACAATTGTTTAATCTTTTCCGAGTCGGGTACCGTCGTACATTAAGACTGTAGATTTTTTTTAAAAAAACTTTAAAATGATGCAGCGAATGGCTTTCCTGTCAGGGCAGGAGAAACAAAAAGCACCCTTTCAGATTCCTGAAGCTTTTCTCCGGGTGGGTCTCCACGTCACCGCTTTCTTTACATGAACGGGCGTCACACACCACCACAGCCTTTCTAAACGCTTCCTATCCGAAAATCACACTAACTTCCTGCTCTAAACACAA